TCAACAAACGACACCAGACATGAACAGCAACAGAATAGCACAGAGTTGGGTGAAAACGATAATCAGAACCCTATCTAGCTGTGTTAGTAAAAAGTACTTGTCGGATGTGATCCAAACAGAAGAACAACAGTGGAAAAAACCGCCCACCAATATTTCAGAGAAATCACGCGAGTGAACTGCTTGATATGATAATAATAATAATATGGACACAGGCAATAAAATTAGAGTAAGCATCGAGCATACATGTCTGAAAACATGTCATGGGTCAAACTTCGAAAACCGTGTGAGCTGACGAGTTTCGTGCCCGAATGGCAACGCGTGGACGACGCAGAACTTACCGCGGACAACGGACAACTGTTACTTCTCTGCAACGCGGTGGCTAGCTTGCGCGGCTGCGGTAGAGCAGCCTAACTAGACATGACGCTTTCTACGGAGAGTTCGGACAACTGCACCAGCTAGAGCACACGCACAAAACGCTGCTGCAAAGTGATCGTGAACAGCTGTCGGTGGCAGGGAACAGTTGGGAAATATGCGCGGAGAGAGCATGGCAGCCGATGTGATTTAGAGAAGCAGACGGCTAGAGACGCAGTAAAAGACGCAAAGTGGGCACGATATACTAATTAGATTGGGCAGAGCTATGCGGCGAAGTCGAGACGCAAGTGCAATGGTTTGTCCAGTCAATTACTGCAAGAAATAACTTTGCTGACTCTCCTAGATATTATCTAACGTTGCGAGCAGGCAAGTAGCCGAAGTTCTCAAGCCCTTTTGCAAGTGGTTTTTTCGCGTGAAGTCGCTGTCGTTCATGTGTTTCCTGGTTTTGTCGTTTCTTTCTTTTTACACACACTCGTTCGTCTCCATTCTATATTAAGAAATCACCTGCTAGGCGTAAGCAGCGTGCATTGCTACTGAGTGTCTCGAACAACAGTTCTCATGTATCTTTCGTCTCTTTCTAATGGAACATGGTGGGGTCCAGTATTTTTAATTCTATCCTAGTACAAAGGAATCTTTTCCATGGATAATCTCTTAACATTTGCCTTTGCAGCTGGTGTTTCCAGCTTCGTTGTAAATCGTTTTACAGCGTGGAGGGCACGCTTCCTCATATTTTTCGGCATACCACTTGGATCTCCTTAAGAAGATCTTCGTTTCAACACAGCTTTTACATTAGATCAATGTGCTTCTCCAAACTTCAGCTCAAAAAAAGAACTTCTTTCATTATTGAATTCTTGAACCTCACGATGTGCCACCAGTGATCTCATGGAGTTAATACGCGATGCGCATTGTAAAAATCGATATTTGTTCGTTTTTATCAAGTGCTGGCCACCACTTCAGAGGGCTATAGTTTTTGCTTCATAGTTGGAGCGCTACGCAACTCTCTCAGAGAGGAATTTTGGTGTATTGATGAAGCTTATGACCACTGAATCCTTACGAATTTGTTCGCCTCGAAAATCTTTGCAACATTTTCTACACTTCTCGTAAACCTTAAGTCCATTAGCTCTGCTGTCACTTTTGTCTCCTCAAGTAATCTTCACTAGTCATCATTCACTCGTTCCATTGTACTATTTTTAGATGTTCATTATACAGCTGTATCGATAAATTTCCCTTCCATTCTCTATTTCACGTTAACGTAACACATTACCGTCGATATCTGAAAATTGGGGGTGAGGCGTGTCCACGCCGGATGATGGCACTTGATCTAGAAGTTGTGAGGAGATGCTATGCCAAGCATGTTTTTGCTGATTACGTCACGAAGGTAGCTGTTGAAGCAGTTATCCCACATAGCTTTATCAAGTGCACGTCCTTCCATACACCCTACTCCAACCTCAGAAATCGAGGTAGGACCACATGACCATGGCTCCAGACAATACCTAACCATTGGGCGCGGCCGCGGCGAACGCGGCCGAGTCGATTGTGCCCGCGAACCGTTGAAAACGCACTCGAGGTGCCCGCGAACTGTGCTGTGCTGAGTTCGCGGGCACCTATCAACTCGGCCGCGTTCGCCGCGGCCGCGCCCAAATGGTTAGGTATTGTCTGGGCCAACCATGACATAAACTTCTCGTAGCATAAAATAACGATTTATTCCCATATTGCTGGCGTAGATTCGAGCACTTTTTCTCAGAGTGTTCGAGACTCCAATTGTGTCCGTCGCCGCGCATCTCTTGAAGTACTTAGTAGTACCCTTCATTCGTGGACTCCTGCGCCCAACCTTTGCTGATGTCGGCCGGAAGTGGTCACCATAGTCTTATGGGAGGTACGCCTCACCAGGTCCCCGGACCAAGAACACAGGTATGCCACTTCCAACGCATTCATATTTTGTATGAATTTATTTAGGGCGTTATAAATCTTTTGTCCCATAATTACTTATTGCGGCATGTATCTTAATGTTAGTTCTTAAAACTAGATCGGAAGCACAGTTTTCATGTCAATCAATTGTCAAATTCCCGAAACCTAATTGTATATTAGCGATTCTGCCGTCTAACCTGTGTTACTCGAGTACGTATTGCATCAAGGAGCTATCGCAGCGTGATCTGGACGAGTTCAGAAAGGATTTGGGATGTCAAATAGAGTACCAGTAGCAGAGAAATCCGTCAGCAAAACGGAACCCCTCTTCTTTGCGTGTTTATTTTCGACCGTGGAGAAGCAAGAAGAGGTCGTTTGAATATGTTAACCCCTCTTGCCGGTATCATGCCAACAATCACGTTGTGATTGCTATGGTTTGCTAGGTTCACACATGATCATGAGCGGTTCAAGAGTTCTCGCAGCGAGAAAACTTCGCAGTGCGAGACCATCGTTATTCAGTCCTCGACGCACCCGCGTATACGTTGCAGCTAGCAGTTCCTTGATTAGTATTTTATATTCTCTGGTCTTTATCGGCGTTTTTAGGCCGTTAATTTGATTAAATTATGATGGTCATCATCTCAAGGTTTAATAATGGCACCTGCCGAAAGTAGTCCAACACGTGCTTGTTTTTTAGGGTTGCACGTCGCAAAATATAGTTCATAAACCTTGCAAAATTCACGTAAATTCGAAAATCTTCTTTCCATGGTCGGAAAGTGCTTATGTGGGTCGAGGCATTTACCCATTTATAGTTCCCTCATAAATTTTTCTTTTCAAATAAAGAAACATAACAGGTCTCATCCAGTTATGGGTTTTGTGGTGCGACACTTCACATCGCTCAAACTAATCCGATTTTTTGCAGCAGAGGGAATCTCCGAGATGGGTGAGAAAGCGAAGGCGAGGTAGTTCACGCATCTCGGGGTTTCCTCCATCTGCAAAAACTGGGATTTAGTGGCAGTAACTCCCGCACGGCATTCCCCTCCTCTTACTGGACGAGAACCAACATACCCGGTTGACTGAAGTCATTCTAGATTTCCATTTTCAGGGAGCTGCAACTGGTGGTCAACCGCTTTCGGCGACTGCTAACCAATTTGTGGATAAAATTGATCCATTCAGCAAACGTGGGACTAGCAGAAGAAGGTTTGTTACGTTGTAGGCGTACCCACCGTTGCATGTTAGTTCACTTGTAGTTCTTCAAAATTTTATTGCAGGAGGATTGTTAATAGCAGTCGGTATCACGCCGAAAATGAGCCTGAATTGGTTCAACTCCCACTAATCAAAGGTTCGATTTTGATCGATATTCTTTTTTAATGCGGAGACGAAATGTTGTTTTTGCGAGAAGCAGATCATTCCTCAGATGCATTTTGAGCTATGAGTGCTTTCATGGTTGGGTCCGATGGCTCCCCCACTTTCTTCACGATTTGGGGCGCGGCCGAATTGACAGTGCCCGCAAACTGTGCGGATGGAGTGTTTTCAAACCTACTCGCTCAGCTAGCGGGTACTACCAACTCGTCCGCGCTCCAAATCGTGAATAAATTAGGGGAGCCGGGTCCGATCGTTACGGTCGCTCAGCATTGGATACATATCGATCCACCGATCGGATCGGGCGATCAACATGTGCCAGATGCTGTGCGGATCATCCCTATCGT